TTTTCGTGTTTGTTGTTTTGTTTTTATTTTGTTTTTATTTTGTGAGTTGGTTATTAGATGCTCCAGCCAGAGAATCCCCCATCGCCCCGCCCTCTCCTCCCTGTACTGCAAGCAGCAGGCGCACCTCGCAACGGAGGGCGCCCTTACTCCCAGCAAACGGGCGACAGAAAACCGATCGGTGCCTACATCTCCTTCTTCCTCTGCCTTTAGCTCCACTTTCATCCATCATATATACTTAGTCTGCAACAAACGAGGAGGCGTAAAGCAGGATGAAGTTTGACCCACTGGGTAAACTAACTTCATGCTCTGTTAGATTCAGTAATTCTGTAACTTTCTTAAATAACTTAAATGACTAAATCCATCCCTCCAGTAAGGAATCAGTACTTCTGTTTTACACTGCAATGGCAGAGAGATTCAACATGTGGTTTTAGTTGAGGTGAACTTTTTAGGGAGTATCTGGCACCACATATACAAAAGAACAAAAATGCATGAAAATCAGTTTTGTTGCTGATCTTTGAAACGTCCCATTCCTGTACTATTTATTATATGAAAAAAGCAGTTTTCTGTTAGTTTTTTTAAAATAATTATTTAGTAACTCAAATGTTTAAACTGACATTTAAGGGATTTAAATCCTAAAAATAGTTTAATCATTTCAAAAAGGGCTCAAATACAAACTCTCAGTACCGTATTACCCCAAAAGAGCAGACTTAAAGCACACTTTCCTTGTTGATGACACAGTTAGGGCTGGATCAGGTGACCCTGAATCCTCCCTCAGTGTCGCTGCAATAGGCTGCTGCTTCCCATGATGTGTGAGTTTCTTCACTATCAGTGAATCAGAAATCAGATCTTTGCAGTATTATTACGGCCACTTCTACACCAGAGCTTGTGTGGATATCCTCACAGTATTTAATTTAAAAATGCACGACTAATTAAACAGAAAACAAGTGAACTTAAAATAAAAAATGGTCCAACATTTGTTCAGTGGCACCTTCAATGTGACAGAAATGTACCCGTCGCCCGATCTGGGCCTCAATTACAATCCTGTCTACAGACAACTTCTTAGACTCCTGGACTGCTTTGTGCTTCAGTATAAACTGTCAACTAGGGGACCTCAGACAGACAGATGCATACCTTTTCAAATCATGTCCAATTAACTGAATTTACGACGGTCAATAAAGTTGTAGGAACACGTGACAGATACTGAGTGGAAACAGGATGCTCCTTAGCTCAGGTCTGACTGTGAAAACTATGAAAACCTGCACATGTAATATTTAGTTTTTGGGTTTTTTTAATACATTTTGAAGAATTTTCAAGCCAACATTTCCCCCTTTGTCACTGTGGGGTGTTGTGTGTGGGGTTTTAGGGTGGAAAAGCACCGTAACATGACAGGATATGGATGCACTGCACATACATGTGATCACATACATTTAATACACGGTGAACTCCAAATGAAACATTTGTAGTAAGAACTAAGAACATTATAGTGTGATATGACATAAAGTATCAACTTTGTTGCTGTTTGTTCAGGTCTGAGACAAATATGTACTGATGGTAAATGAACTGTTTCTACTTGAGCACTCAAAATCAACACAGCATGCCTCGTTCATCTATTCACATCCGCTCATGCAAGACCTTCTAAGCCTAAGTGCTTTCTATCTAACAATGACACACATTCATATTCTGCATCAGAGAGCAACTCTGGGTTTTGTATCTTGCCTAAGGATACTTCAGCGTGCAGACTGGAGATAAGCCAGGGACCAAACCAGCCAACCACAGACCATCTGCTCTGCCTCCTGAGCTGCAGCTATCCCAGTCAGTGTGCTGAACATATCTATAGACTATAGATCTGAGTGATGTACTATGAAGATTAAGGGTTAGTGAGCTATGTTGGGCTTAAACAGAGGTTTGCATGATGACAGTGGCTGGCTCTGTAAACTCTGGTTTACAGTTTCAGATTAATGAGTTCGTTCCACGTTTCACTGATTCTTAAAAGGATTCTTTGCTGGGAGAATAAATTTTATATGAGAAATTTGTTAAGTTGTACCTCACTAACATCACTAATGAATTGCCACAGCAGTGCAGACTGTGCGCTGCATTGTTACAGCAAATTCCATGTATTCAGTTGGTGATGCAGGAAATATATAAATGTTTTTATACTTTAAAGGTTGATTCTGTTCATCTGGATGTTTTCAGTGAGAACATAATCAACCTTTTGACATTTACTTGTCTCCTTTACACTGCCTGAACTGCTCCTTTATTACGCTGTCAATCCAGTTTGAAGTTTCATCTTTAGAGCACACTCAGGGGTAAAATAAATATATTATCTCAATTAAAAAGGTTGACTTTGTGCTAAATCACTGCATTAAAGATTTTTGCAGCATTAACTTTGGTCCTATTTGCAACAATATTACATTTTAGTTATATTTGTGAAGATTTTTAAAGATTCTTCTCTGATAACATCTAATTAGTATGTTGCAGTCACAGGATGATTCTGTTCAAGAGACATATGACACATGAGATGCACATTTTTATGTGAGGAAACATAAGAAAGTTGACAACCACCGTCATGATACCCATCATGTCTGATGGGGCTTTGGGTTCCCTCAAGCTAACACAAGGAACGTTGTGTCAGCTGTGTTGGACTTCACAGCATGCCCCTGTGGTCACTGCTGGCTACACGTTCTCAGTGGAAGTGTTGGGCATGTGGTCAGACGAAGCCGATTCTTCGAACACATCATCCTCCATGCCTTCTTCTATAGGATTCATTTTTGAGGACGCTTTGGTGCCGGGTGAGATCTCTAGAAAAACACAAAATGAAAAAAATATGGAACTTTGTGGCTAAACAATCTGAAGTCTGAGCATATACAGAGCCTGGTTCTGCTGGAGGTTTCTTCCTGTTAAAAGGGAGTTTTTCCTTCCCACTGTCGCCAAAGTGCTGCTCATAGGGG